GACACGGCTGGAAACCGACACGTCTTATGCTCTGATAATAGGAGTGACACACGTAACCCACAGAAGATAACGTAGGGTTGGAAAGCAAGGTGATAGAAGGAAAATAGAGTGTTTACTAGAAGATTACTAGAAGTTGTTTTCCTCTAGGGGGCGCCTGGCGGCTCAAAAAGCCGAATCCCACATTGAAACGCATTTAAATCTCAGTGCTTTTTTTTGTGCCGCTGGAGATATTTGAACCCTAAAAACAGTAACCTATAAAAAAATATATATATTTTTTAAAGATTTGATAATTAAAAAGATTCTGACATAGATTTCAAATTTGCACCAGCAATCTCAAATGAACTACAGAAATGTCTCATCCAGAATAAACAATAACAACAAAAAGCAACCAGTATATCATGAGGATGTGCTACTTCTGCAGCGGTCTGAACAATTATTTACAGCCGAGAATATAAATTTAGAAACTTTAAAAACGGTTCAATTTAAAATACAAGTCCCGTCGTTTTGACAACCCTACTCGGTTCATGCGAATAGCCTTTCTACCCACTATTTCTATTATACAGTGAACGAGTTCTTCATTACAAATGTCCGGACAGGATTGGATCAAGCGAACAAGGGTTCCACTTTTGAAATAAGTTCGACTATAGTTAGGAAACGCGTTCTATATCTTTACAGCCGATACTTAGACATTACATTTTAGTCAATACGTTTGTCTTCGGTCCTTGTACAACAGATGATTTCCTGAAAGCAGGAAATATCATGATATCACAGGTTTCACTGTATTAGTGTGCACATACAGTGGGGAAAAAAAGTATTTAGTCAGCCACCAATTGTGCAAGTTCTCCCACTTAAAAAGATGAGAGAGGCCTGTAATTTACCAATTAATTCTTTAAAAATCCTATAATATGATTTTCTGGATTTTTTCCCCTCATTTTGTCTCTCATAGTTGAGGTATACCTATGATGAAAATTACAGGCCTCTCTCATCTTTTTAAGTGGGAGAACTTGCACAATTGGTGGCTGACTAAATACTTTTTTGCCCCACTGTAGACTCCCATGGTTAATCAGGTTAATAATATTTTCTATGGCCTAGCCCTACTCCTGACATAACCATCACAGAAAACTGTGCAGGACACTATATTTAAACAGAAATACGATTTGACTGATTTATAAGACTTTTTAATTAGTGAGGACATGTAAAAGTCATAATATTTCACTATTTAAGTGAGGACATTTGGCCCTCACAAGTATAGCTAAACAAGTACACACACAACCTAAATATTATCAATGATGACACTGAGAACATAACTAAAATGCAGTTTTAATGATGCACAATGATGATCGTATAACAAATTCATAAATTATAGTGAACAGATAAATACGTCTCAGAATTCAGAAATCAAATCATCCTAATTGAGGCAGATGATTCGTTTAACTTAATGTTTTGTTCTCCCCTCACTCAGTGTCACAGGTGTCTCTCTGTCCACAACTGTATCAGAAGTAGAGCTTGAGAGTTCAACATGCTGTTGATTTATTTGCTCAGTTTGACTTCTGGTTTGCTCTTGGACCTGTGCATTTGAGTTCAATTGACCAGCAGTCTGCTTGTACATTTCTGACTTTCTGATTTTGCGAGTAGCCTTGCTAAAGTGAGCAATAGCTTGTATAATGCTGCCAGCAGTCCAGTGTTGTCGGGTGAGTGCATTCTCTACTTTGAAGGGACCGTCTCGTGTACGACGCACTCCAGAACAGACAGCAGACGTCCGCAGCTCTAGTCCAACCTCGTGAATCAATTTACGCAGATATTTCTGAGTCTCATTCACACACTGGACCTCTGATTTGAAATGAGAAAAAGAAATGTTAAAGGACACATGTTAAACATAAACTTATGTATAAGTACGTTATATAGAATTCAGAGAACTAACCCAATGTGAAATGTGGTGGATTGAAATGTATGCATCGCAGACCAGTCAGAATCGGTGGGCTTTTACCATGAGGATACAATAAACCCCTCACTGCAAGCTCGTAAGCCTCCTGAGTGTGCAGATCCACCTGAGAATACCTGCACAGAGACATAATAACATACTCAGAGACATGCTATACATTAACCAAATATTTACACACAGTCAGACAGTATGCAATTTAATATTATGTCGAATAATATTCTTATAGCGACTCACATAATTAAGGCTTTCTGGTTGGCTCCCTGTATCATGGCAAGAACTCTCTCGAGCTTATCCAGGGTAACATGGTCTAGAAAATAAAGACAAAGTTTACTACAAATTCTTAGTCTGTATACTATACGTAACAAATATGATAGTTATGATATTGTAATGCACACATTACCGTATGTTGTTTTTTCAATGACTCGGCCTGTGTGAGTGAAATTATCAGTGGCTTTTCCAAACTCCCCTTCAAGTGTGTAGTCCTTCATATATAAAACAAACACATTTGCAGTCTGCATAAAATTGTCTACTAGACATCTGCTAAAAGTCCTGATTTGATCATCCCTTAGTATGAATTAATAATCAATCAGCGGAAAAAATACAGGCAGAATAAAAAATAAAATAGCAGTTAAATGTGAGATTAATTATTACGCAATATAAAATATAACCTTTACCCGAGTTACATGTGATTTGCACAGATGCTCCAGCACTCCATTTCCTTTCCCAACGCCTAAAACTGAGGTAGAGATATGACAGAATTGAGCACAGAGTGCATTCCACAATTAAATCACTTGAAAATTTAAGAGTTAAACATTTTTGGTCACCTAACACCCCAGAGGAAAAAGCATCCAATCGATGGCCAACTCCAACGTGAACCTTATGAAACTGTGGCCCTGTCACTACAGAGGAAAAGCAAGTTATCATTTTAAAGGTAACAATGCATGACTGATTTACAGTTATGCATCAATCTCATATATATATATATATATATATATATATATATATATATATATACACACACACATATATATATATAGTAGTTATACAAGTATAACTAAGATTATTTGATTATTTTTCATGACAAATATGCATGACCCCAATTCTCAGCACAGCAATGAAAATCTTAAATAGTAAAATATACATTACGGTAGTATTTGTTGCACTGCCTTTAAAGTATGCTAATTTAAAAAACAAACAAAACTATAATTAATTAATTCTTGATTATTATGAAAAGAATGTCATAATGCAAAAACTATTAATGGTTCTAAAGTGTTTATGTGACCTGGACATATTTTTGAAGGTTTAGCCACTAACCTAGAGGATGGTCTGCCAGTGTGGGGACCATAGAGGGTGATAATACGACATCTTTGGAGCTGCTGTTTTCTCCACCGGACAGAAGCTGGAACTGCACTGCAAGCTGAGGAGCTGGTGGAGGACAGGAGTTCAGCGCTTCAGAGGAGGATGACAGGGAATGCATTGACGGAAGAGAAGAAAGTTAGTTTTCAGTTGCACTAATAATCATGTAATTAAATTAACTAATCATTTATAACCAAGGTAGTCGTTATCTATAAGCATTTACTTCACAAGTGACACAGACACTAACGTTACCTTTTAATAAATTGGACTCTATGCTGTCACGAACATGTTTCCAGTGAACTCCCTGCGGTTTGTACACAGCAAACAGACCATCCATTTTACGGAAAAGACGTACAGCCTGAGAGGTCATCTTCGCCCAGAAACAAATGTTACAAGCATCAATATAATCTTAGGTAAATAAACAAGGACGCAAACATTCACATGCTGCTTGTACGGCACCGAAACGCTGGCGTGACCTTCTTCTTCTACTGGAGTGGCGTTACAGTATTACAGTCGCTTTAGCGCCCTCTACTGGACGAGATACTTCAGAACCATGCCAGATAAATGCTAGCATGTTTTTTTTTTAAAGAATTTACCGCAAACCTAATTACTACTAGTACTATGCATCATAATGTTGTCTCCCCATTATAAATGTCTTAATAAACGGGAAAGTGTCACAAGATCTAAAATTGGAATCAAATTAGAATATTTTTATGGGTTGTAGCCTACCTAGCCTCCAAACTCCAGCATAGCTACAAACATAAGCAGCTGCCATTTTGGTGGGAAAAACAACATTAGAGTGATTTAGCAATGATATTAATAATGTGACATTTTATGGTAGCCTATTACTAGTTGGATATATAGACATCCCAAATGTTTTAGAAAATTACAGATATTATCATTAGGCTAAATCAACATTTCAAAAGATGGTTCTTTTGAAATATCTTAACTTGCCTATAACTTGCACCAACTTTATTTTCTAACTAACTATGAAATTTTGTTAGAAATGTAATTACAAAATGTGTTTTTTCCAGCAGTGGTTTTGCATGTTGTTTTCAAAAACCTATAATTCAAAATCCTTTTGAATTAGAATATGTTTGTGAATTCTATCAAAAGTCAAATGCTATGAAATTCAGTAATATTATATTTCCTGGATGTTTTTTTTTTAATTAAGCAAAATAGGCTAAAAAACACGTTTGAATTGTTTGTTTTTTATTTGTACGTTTTTAGAGTGAAATGTTATGGTTAATATATCATATACTATACATACTGTATAATTTAAAATTCTTATAAATTAAAGAAGAGTCAATGTGGTCGAGAGACATAAGATATAAAAGCAAATGATTTGATGAGATGAGTGTAAAACAGTGAAGTCAGCATTTCTTTTAAAAGGGTTAAATAGGGTTAATCCTTAAGTATTATATATATACACACACACATATATATATATAGTAGTTATACAAGTATAACTAAGATTATTTGCATTATTTTCATGACAAATATGCATGACCCCAATTCTCAGCACAGCAATGAAAATCTTAAATAGTAAAATATACATTACGGTAGTATTTGTTGCACTGCCTTTAAAGTATGCTAATTTAAAAAACAAACAAAACTATAATTAATTAATTCTTGATTATTATGAAAAGAATGTCATAATGCAAAAACTATTAATGGTTCTAAAGTGTTTATGTGACCTGGACATATTTTTGAAGGTTTAGCCACTAACCTAGAGGATGGTCTGCCAGTGTGGGGACCATAGAGGGTGATAATACGACATCTTTGGAGCTGCTGTTTTCTCCACCGGACAGAAGCTGGAACTGCACTGCAAGCTGAGGAGCTGGTGGAGGACAGGAGTTCAGCGCTTCAGAGGAGGATGACAGGGAATGCATTGACGGAAGAGAAGAAAGTTAGTTTTCAGTTGCACTAATAATCATGTAATTAAATTAACTAATCATTTATAACCAAGGTAGTCGTTATCTATAAGCATTTACTTCACAAGTGACACAGACACTAACGTTACCTTTTAATAAATTGGACTCTATGCTGTCACGAACATGTTTCCAGTGAACTCCCTGCGGTTTGTACACAGCAAACAGACCATCCATTTTACGGAAAAGACGTACAGCCTGAGAGGTCATCTTCGCCCAGAAACAAATGTTACAAGCATCAATATAATCTTAGGTAAATAAACAAGGACGCAAACATTCACATGCTGCTTGTACGGCACCGAAACGCTGGCGTGACCTTCTTCTTCTACTGGAGTGGCGTTACAGTATTACAGTCGCTTTAGCGCCCTCTACTGGACGAGATACTTCAGAACCATGCCAGATAAATGCTAGCATGTTTTTTTTTTAAAGAATTTACCGCAAACCTAATTACTACTAGTACTATGCATCATAATGTTGTCTCCCCATTATAAATGTCTTAATAAACGGGAAAGTGTCACAAGATCTAAAATTGGAATCAAATTAGAATATTTTTATGGGTTGTAGCCTACCTAGCCTCCAAACTCCAGCATAGCTACAAACATAAGCAGCTGCCATTTTGGTGGGAAAAACAACATTAGAGTGATTTAGCAATGATATTAATAATGTGACATTTTATGGTAGCCTATTACTAGTTGGATATATAGACATCCCAAATGTTTTAGAAAATTACAGATATTATCATTAGGCTAAATCAACATTTCAAAAGATGGTTCTTTTGAAATATCTTAACTTGCCTATAACTTGCACCAACTTTATTTTCTAACTAACTATGAAATTTTGTTAGAAATGTAATTACAAAATGTGTTTTTTCCAGCAGTGGTTTTGCATGTTGTTTTCAAAAACCTATAATTCAAAATCCTTTTGAATTAGAATATGTTTGTGAATTCTATCAAAAGTCAAATGCTATGAAATTCAGTAATATTATATTTCCTGGATGTTTTTTTTTTAATTAAGCAAAATAGGCTAAAAAACACGTTTGAATTGTTTGCTTTTTATTTGTACGTTTTTAGAGTGAAATGTTATGGTTAATATATCATATACTATACATACTGTATAATTTAAAATTCTTATAAATTAAAGAAGAGTCAATGTGGTCGAGAGACATAAGATATAAAAGCAAATGATTTGATGAGATGAGTGTAAAACAGTGAAGTCAGCATTTCTTTTAAAAGGGTTAAATAGGGTTAATCCTTAAGTATGTAGAGATATTGTGAAAGATCTGTGTGCCAACCTGCCATATGCCTTTAATTACACCACTGCCATCATATTGATAGAGCAGCACATTACAATAAATGCACAAAATGAGTAAATATTATACAGTTCACACAATGCATATGTGTATTCTGTAATGTTGCAGCCTAAAGGCAGTCATAATGAAATTAAGCAGGTAAATAAAGTAAATGTTGAACAAATAATATAAAGCGTGTTCATTCAGCCTGATTGTGACTGTCGGGAAGCTGGTCTATTCAAACAGTCTTCTCCATTGTGAAAAACACCAGCTAAAACAAAGCTTTGACCTTCACTTTTGTCATAATTATTTATTGTATAACACATCGACCTGTCAAAATTAACCCACATACAAAAACGACATTATAAAATATTTAATGGTTTACATAGTTTGCACATTGAATAATCTGACAGAGTGCTGATAAAGAAGTGTAATGGGGTAACAAGTATAAATCTTGGCGTGGCTCAACAGTTTATGACCTGTCCCCAATAAAACAACACTGTTTATTACATGTACACGTTGGCTTATTGGCATAATTAGCATAATTGGTATAAGTTTATGTTTTAAACGGGTGCCGTATTGGGGGAGAGGTTAGGACGATTCCAAGGGCCCGGTGAGGGAGAGGGGGCCCGGGAACGTGGAACGCGATCGCGGGAGGGGGCACGAGTCAATGATGTTCAAGGGGCCCAAAAACCATAGCAGCACCCTTGGCTTTAACATTCATTTGTATTTACCATTGGAATTAAATCAGACCTGCACATTCTCCTTAAAATTACAGGAAGAACAAATAATTTAAATTATTATTCTACCTTAAACATTGCATTGAATGCACTGAACACTTTAATAAAATGACAAACGATTTACTATTTTCAAACCATTTTTAATTGCTATGAAGCAGCAAATATAATTATGCCATTCACATTGTATATGAATTCATCTTTATTACACATTTATCATAGATCATGGGTCATTAGTCTAGTACTGAGATGAATCAGGTCTATTAGATAAGTATGGCAAAGTCTGACAAGCACTGTTTTAGATTATTAACAGCTACAGCATGCAATGTATCACCAGCTAAAAGATGAATTCAACTAATTGTATTTGCAAAAATGCTAGAAAATAGAAAATATCTATATACAAATTTAGTACGATTTCATAAGAAATGGAACATTTGTAATGACTGTATTATATATATATAAAAAAATAATGACAACATATTATAGTTTTTGTAGAAAATATATATGTACATACATACATACATATATACTTTTATTTTTATTTTTTTATCACATTATTATCATACATACATCTACATACATACATCATGTCATGGTCTTTCTTTTCTTCTATTTCATATTGCTTTTGCTCTTTCATTTTTATATGTCCTCTGTAGCCATAGCGTCCTGAAGTTTTCCACTAAGGAAAATAATTCAACAAAAACATCCAAACTAATTATTCAATGGAATGGAAATGAAGCTTTCAACTTCTATTTTGCTGGAATGGAAAATGGAAATGTATTTAAATATGTTCCTGGTAGAGGAAGAACCTTCTTCCTCATCCTACTTTATCCAGTATTATGAAATGTGTTGTTCAAATAAAACTGCATTGAATTGTTTGAAATGAAAATAAGTATACTGTATATGGTATGATGCAATATTGTGTACACATACGCCCATATAGTTCAACCTTTTCTTAATGTCTTACCAAATAGGGAACACAGGAGCAAATGCCCTCACAAGAAACTGTTTCAAAGATTCTTTTTTATAATTCTAAAAGAGCTCTAAAAAGAGGTATGCAATTGTTTTCTTCACATTTTTAGCATATAAATGCATTTAAGTTACATAACAAAGCTGTCAACACCATCCAAAACCACAAGGATGTGACAGAGTATAATGACCTTTAATCAGATAATGCCCTTTATTTTCTTAGAATAAGAAATATAATATGTCATATTAGGGTGGAGAATTTTACAGACCAAATCAGTTGCATTGCTGAATGTGACTAATTAAGAAAATAGTTACAGCAAATAACGAATCACCAAAAAGTCTACAGTCATTCTACTTGTGGCAGCTGATTTTGCTGCTCATAATGAACTGAACATCATGTGGCTCAAGCAATGAGTCCCAAACCTGTTGACAGTGTCACGGTACCCACAGGATTATCGAACAGATATTTATGCACCTGCCATTTACTGCTATTACTTGTCTCTATTGTTTGCAGGCTCCAATGTTCAAAACGTGAACATCTGAACACATAAGGGAGTGAGCAACAGGTGTGATTGCGTGATTGAGAACAACAGTTTATGACAGCAGAAGGTATTCATACCAGATTTAAGTGGTGATTTACGATACGTCCCAACCGAACCGTGTCTTTTTTTCTCGCTAATTTAAAATTGACCGTGACCGTGAGCGATTAGTATTCTTTGTGTGGAAATACATGGTTAGCTGCAAATCCCTCAATCAGGATGCTGAGGCGATTAAGCTAAAAGGACACACGAGAGTGTTTGTCACACGTGTTCCGAATCTAATCAACCATTTCCATAGAAATGCACAGTTTGTTTATGCTAGTAATATGGTATCCACTTTAGATTATGCAACACTATTTAGTATTAACTAGTTACTTGTTACTAGCATGTATATTACTAGCATAGGCTACTGGATGTTTATTAGTACTATTAGGACATATTAATGCCTTGATTTATGTATGTCTATATTACAAATTACATTACGTTTCTCATAGCAAAAAAGGAATTCCAGACTGCATGCGAGTCAGTGAAGGAAATATCCAATCATCATCCAACTACTGTTGAGTTTTGAATAATTTATTGATTTGTTTGTTTGTTTATTAAGAAAGAAAACTGATGAAGAAAAACACTGACCAATGTATTTTAACATTTAGTCCGGAATTTTCTATGTTTGCTGGTTTCAGCTTATTGGTGGACATTTAAAAGACTATTGAAAGTCCATATAGCCTAGTGTTTATAACATAAAGATATTTTGAAGAATGTTTCGACTTGTGTGTTTCGAACAGAAAAATAAAGACCTTTATTTTTTTTTCACAGAAAAAATCTCTGGATTAGCTGTTTAGCACAAAATAGTTAACGACTAAGTTAAAAAGATGAGGCTTGAAGATATTATATTTATAACAGATAACAACAACCGTGACTTGGTTAGCAATACCGGCTTTCATGTAACTGATTTGCAATGTATGCTGAAACTTCTCAGAGTGGTATTCACTCAAGTTTACTCAACTCTCTTGTTATTTTAAATTATTACTTAAACTTTTCTGTTTTAATCACATTTATTCTAAGACTAAATATCATAGTTTAACCAGATTTCCTAACATTGTGAAAGAGGTTAATCCTGTAACAATATTCTTCTAAAAATGGTAAAAAATTAAATAATCATAATAATAATAATGGTGCTTTTCAGTAAAATCCGTCTGTGTACATTTGTGAGTGCTCTATCTACACTGTTAAACCAAGGACTTTAACACAACAGAGTCAAAGAGAGATTAGTTATTAAGTTACAGTTGTTATTGGTGAGTGAGGTTAGTGCATGCTTTCAGTTCTATTCAGATAAGGTTGTTTATCAGTTCCCACATATCAGAGGACATCCTGTCAAATTCTTTAAGAAAACTTCCTCAAAATGATTCAACTTGTGACATAAAAATAAGAGAATATTTGGTCCAATGAAGCGTTAAGGTTGTAAACCTCAGGGTGTGTGTCTGAGTGTGGTAGGGTACCTAGTAACTGTGTGTGAAAGAGGAAAAGTTAGTGGATGTGTTATGTGTGTGTGTGTGTGTAATGAGCTGAAGATATACTGGGGAAGTGGGAGTATAACTTCAGTTCCCAGAGGTCCGGGCTGGAGTAAAGGTGTGGCGTTATCAACACGTATAGCCACAGTGTGTTCAATAAGAAAGTTCATCCGGACAGGTAAAGAAGAGGGAAGACGGTAAGACACTTACTTTCTATCGGATTTGAAGATCTCAGCTAATAACCGATTCTCTTGAACATGTACAACTTGTAGACTTGAATGAGCATGTGAAGTGTAAACAAAGCTATGA